CGAGTCCGCGTGCGTGGTACTCTTAGGCCTCGGCGAGTTAAGGGGTTATAAAAAGATATTTTCCAGACGTGGTTATTTTCGATAAGGTCATCAATGGCAGGTGATCTCGATGCACATCACCTTGAGAGATGAAATTCCTTCACCACCGACTTCAGTTCACGTTTCCTCTTCTTAAGATAACCGATTCGCAGACCAAGGAAACGACCAATCGGGCACCGTTACTCTTTTAGCGAACTCCCGATTTTCCCTAGTTCGATCACTAGGAAAATTGAGGAGTCAGTCGTTCTTTCATTGTTCGACTTTAACGTTCAAATCAACTTTCAATCATTCTTCGACCTTTCAACTCTAACGTTGTCTAACGTATAATTTTTAATAATAATTTAATTTAATTTTAATTTAATTTTCCTCGTGAAACGTTACTACCGTCTGTGTTCGATTCGGCTGTAGTCTAGCATTGCACATCATCTTAGCCCTTCTTCTTGCTCGTGATTATTCAACTGATTGCTCAAAATTAATTTAGCGAGCAACATTGACAAAGCGTAGAGTGATTTACGACCCGCTAACCGGTTCGTTTTGCCAATTCACTCGCGACGTGACAGCAACATTTTTGGTACGAAACAAATTTTATATGAATTTGATGATTTTTGATACTTTATTAATGATTTGAAAAAGAATATTGGTCAAATATATTATAAATTCTTTTTACAGATTTATATAATAGATTTATATTAAATATTAGGTAACCAGATAAATAATGTTCTTTGAAATGTGAATAAAAATACGAAAACAACATTATTTATTTCATTAGCTAATATATAATCTATAATGCTATAAATATATATATCTTATATATCTAATATATGTTCTTAATATATGTACAAGTATCATTTCATTCATAAATATTTACATTACTCGTAAAAGTACTCGTAAAAATACGTTTTTCTATTTTATTTCTTTTTTGTTTATATTTTTTTATTTTTTTAAATTAAAAGATTTTTCCGTTCCAACGAACCAGACAATGAAGCTTTGCCGGTGAACGAGTGCACCAGGGGAAAGAGAAAACCATGACGTAGAGTAATGGTGATACTAGTGGTGATAACCAAGGCAACAATAGCTTCAATCTCGCTCAGCTGCACTTTACTTCTAATGTGTATATCGCATGAAAGCATAGCTGGCTATATCTGCCAATTTGTAGCAAGAACGAAAATCTGTCATTGTACGCTGTTATTTCCCATAAATTAAATTAATCATAATAACAGTTAGACTGATATTACGAAAAGCAATATCTTTACTGAATTCATGATTTTATGAACGCAAACCTCTGATCGCTGCAAGTTCTGAAATCCCTAATAATTTATTGTTATTTGCCGACTTCAAACTCTCATATTCTTTTTTCGATATAATTACGAGTTTAACACCCTTGTCGCTATCGTAATCTTACGTTACTCGCATTTTTTCATTTCTTTCTCAATATCCCTTTTTCAACTTTCGTATCGGAGACTGCTTTATAAGATACCATACGATGAAGAACTATAAAATATAATTTTTACATAAAATTAAAACGTATTATTGTATTACATATATCTAAAGTTTAAAAAAGAATTAATGAATTTTGTTTTTCCTTCATAATCTTGCATATTATGTATTACTATTCGTTCAACGAAAATTAATTCTGACCCAAGTAATCACACTAAGTTAATATGACTGCAAAGAGTTAATATCATTAATGTATGATAATGAATATCATTATTAAACATAAAGATGTATAATATTTAGCATTATCCAATATTACTATTAGGTATCGGAAAAAATTCGTGCGGATTGTTGAAAATATGAGAGAAAGCCAGAAGAAACGTGGTGCAACAGTAAATTTCTAAAATCGATTGTGTTTCAGTAGATGCTTATTCGTTTGATATTTATGATCAACTTGTCGCTTCGCAGGTGAAATAATAGAATCAGCATGGTCAAATGGAATATCCACGCTTCCCTTTCTCCTTACATTTTGCTAGCCTAAATTTCTCTTCACTTTCTCCTTTTTTACTGTGAATGTACAGCTCTGCTGTTTAAGCCGAAGTGGGATAATGTAACGGGTGTCCTTTACAGAATTCGTATTTTTACATAAGGCAAATTCGCTTAGGAAAAATCGGGTATTAAATATCGTACAGAATGATAGGTTGAATTAATAAAATAAAACATTACAAAATAATGTAATGTTACAAGTGTGAAAAGAAATACAATAAAGAATTGTTTATTATAAAATTTTCAATATGAATACTATATTACTATAGTATTATAATATTATGTATAGAATAATATTTACACAAATTATTTACAGTTTCATATTTATACCATAATGGTATATCTGCCAGCTTCAGCATGACTTTTGTTCAATATCATACACTCAAATTTTTATAGCAAACATTCCTTTTTATACATATTTGCATTAAAGTATTCTAAGAAATTATCCATTATGAAAAAATTGCTACATTCTGTTCCAGTGTTTAAAAACTCTAATTTTAGTCTGCATAATATACCCACCATTTCTGGCTTCAAATGGTTTTGATTCAGAGAAAATTTCATTGATAACTGAAGAATAATTGTGCATAATTGTACCAAACCTGAAATATGTTTGAAGTCTTATATTATCTAAGTCTACTATGTCGTGATTTTGTTTCAAAATGTATAGATTTCTAAACCAATTTCATGAACAGCCAGAAGACTCAAATCATGCCATTCGTTAATAAAGTCAACCATATTAAATATAAAACTGAATTTATGTGTTATACTTTTAAAATCATTTGAATGCTTACTGCCATCCAATGCAATGGAGAGATCCAAAAACTCTAAAGTATCTAAAAAACTATTAGTTACTGATAGCCTTTTGATTGCACTTGTATGAGCGGTTTGATAAAATTTTTGGCAGTTGACATGAAATTCCTGAATTTTGCTTTCGTTGTTATCTATTGACTATTTCCTGATATCTTCTATGGTTAATTCTCAATATCCTCGAATATGCATCAACCTTAAAGATCCTAAATTATTATATACACCTATTTAGTATAAGTTAATAGTTTGTATGATAATAAGTTGCTGAATGAAATTACTACCTAATTCTTTTATCAATATTTGGCAATATTTTGATACTCTATATATCAAATTATTAGTGCCTTGAGAAATTTTATTGTACTTTATTATTTTCTTTATATCAACTAAATATAAACTCCTCAATATTTCAGTCAATTTATACTATATCTGAGCTTTCTGACATTTTGGAATCTGTATTTGATTTGAACATTTTCAATTTTACATATACTTCTTTGTCTAAATATACAATAAGTATATCTCAATGTTCCAAGAATCTTTCCATACTCTCACAAAAAACCAACCATTATGTTTATGAATACACAATTATGTTGTGCTTCATCACATTCAATGTACTCTGTATTTTTCTATAGTCTTCTTTTTTTTTCAAGCTCCACGAAAAATGTGTATAAATTTTATGTAGCAATTTTTCCAAATTTTTTGAAAGTTGTTTACATGCATCTGAAGCTATAAGATGTATGTTATGGTAAATGCAAGGAAAAGCAAAAATATGTGGATTATCTTATAGTAATAAAACAATAAAAGATTGCTTCTTGCCTACCATCACACTTGTTTTATCTGGTGTTACAATTGCTATCACAATGACATTTCTAATTGGTAATTGGTACTTTTTTAATGACTAAAGAATATATTTACATGAACTTTCTGCTATGGCTTTCTTTACTCTAATATAATCTAATAAATGTGTTTGAACTTTGCCTTCATTAACATATCGATTTAAAATATATAGTGCTTTGATTTCAATGGTGTTAGTCGTTTAATCTACTGACATGACATAAAAAAAGAAGGTTTTGTTGCAATATTTTCATTGTTGTTTGAAGTATTGTTCTATTTTAAACATTTTTTATTATCCCTCTAATTTTATTTCACCATCGCAATCGAAATGTGTCACGTTCAGAATGCTCACATAATGCCAAAAAGAATTAAAACTCCTACTATGCTCAACTATGTGTCTAATTTCAGCTCTTTTTACTAATTCTGAATTTGTTATTTCAGGTACACTCATGTTCACATCATTATGGTTTAGTACAAAAAAACATGGTAAGAACGCAGAGAAGAGGAACCTAGGTCGAGAAAATATGAGGAGAAGGGGAAGCGTAGAAACTCCTGGTTACGTTATAACGATAAAATACTCGACGCTTACTTAAAATATGTTCGAATTACTTGATCTCCTTAAAACTATTCGATTTCTTTCTAATCGTTCGAATCTTTCAAGTTCTCGGAATTTTTAATTTCAGACTACTCAAATATTCGAACATTGTGACACTTCCATTAATATACCTCTACTAAATAGTATCAAAAGAATTCAAAGAAAAATGTTACTCAAAATGTTTATTTTATAAGATACTTGAAAGCTCTCAAAATTGGTAAGAAACTAGTACATCAACAAGTTTTCCCATATTTTAATGACGAAGTAAAATCATTTTTAAAAATTTAGAGTTAAATAATCTACATTGATCACTAAACTACTGAATTACCAAATCTGTTTATAAATTTCATAATTTTGAATTTGTTATATCCCAAATGTTTATTAAACATCTTATTAAATCACTGAATAAATGTTTTAATTTCTATTCTATTATCTTAATCTAGTATCAATATTTACAATGCAAATTCAAAATATAATTAATCTATTTGTTACTATCCTAAGTAATTTGCATTGAAATCAATAACTCTTAGCCATTGTTGAAAATATTCAATCTCAAATTAAGGTAATGAAAAATAACAATTTTTAATCAAATAAAAATTTTAATAGACATCTTATTAGTTTATACACAAAATGTTTTATAAAAATCTAACTTATTTCTTAACTTTATTAAACATATAAAGATAATTCATTTTCATGCTAAAAAAGTGTTTTTGAACAATTCATTTGTTAAAAAATATTATAAAATGTATTATAAAGTACATACCAGGTTTTCCCACAAAAAATCATTGCAGTAATCCTTTAAATTTATTATATTTTTATCTCCGACTAGATTAAATAATTTTTTAAACACTGCATACCGAGATAAAGTGTTCTTGTCCCCAATAATAATTAATTTATATTTTGCTCTTGTTAACGCTACAGTTAATCTTCGATGATCCCCTAATACTTCGAGATCCTGTATTTAAAAAATATTACATATTTCTTTCTAACTAATGTAATTCCATAAAATTTAAATATAATACCTCTTTTACATCACTATTGTTGACTAAACTTTTTGCACAAGAATAAATTATAATCTCTTTATCACGTCCTTGATATTGATCAACAGTATTTATCTCGATATCACTAGTAAGAACTTTTTTTAGTAAATTAACATGTGCTCTATATGGCGCAATAATGCCAATATTTTTAAACTGTGCATCCATCTGTACATTTAAATTTTATGTTACAAATTCTAATATTTAATATAAAAATGACTACATTAATTACTATTAAACATCACCTTTAAAAGAGTTTGCACCAATTTCGAGATTATGACAGCTTCCCATATATTTGAATTTACTTGATCACTTTCTGGGTATCTAGTACTAAAATCGCAGTAACTTAATTGTAAATTACTGGTACATCCTGTGTTTAGTATAATTACTGAGTTACTTATATCCAATGATAATGTCTTCTGTAGCCACTTTTCCTCTATAAAAATCTAAAATATATTTTTATTTTATGAATAGGACATCACAATTTATTTTATTTATTAAACTCACTTCTTTACATAGTGAAACAATGGTAGCATTTTCTAACGATGTATTCCCCATTACTAACATGTCGTTATATGTTAACTTATTTGCTAAGTACATAATATTTTTATTCATTCTGTACTGTTTTGTTAAGGTGACTGTATTGTTTTCATTATCCAATCGAGCAAATAACGATTCTTCTGCACCTAATTTTCTGTAACGAAAGTACAATTAACATTTCTTTTTGTGATATAAACTACCATCTTTTTAAAAAGTCTGATATACACCTAGCCAATTTACTTCTAATAACAGGTGGTAATTGATCAGGATCTCCCACAAGAACAAATTTCTTTGCACTATATAATGGGCGTAAGACAGATGGTTGCAATGTCTGAGTACTTTCATCTACGAGACATATATCAAATATACGTCTTCCAAGAAGAGCATGATGAGCACCGTAACAAGTTACTCCAATAATATTCTAAAATAATTAAATAATATTTACAATAAATATTTCCAATTTAATTACAACAGAAATTATCACCTTAAATATTTCCAATACTATAAAAAAAGAATTCAGAGTTACTCATAAGTTACTACAATATTAAATAATTTATATGAAAAATTTTTCATTTACTTTCATTCTTTTAATATATAATTATATAAATGTAATCTAAAAATATTTCATACTTTGCTAGAATATAGTTCTTCTAAGCTGTTTGGTGAGCAGTAATTTGAAACTGCAAATCCTTCAGTTTTATATTTCAAAGATGGATGAACATATGAACCCAATCGCAAGAAGTCAATACCTTTGTTCAGTAATTTTAATAAAATATTGTCTACAGCACTATTTGTATGTGCAGTAATTAGAATAGAGTGTCCTGCATTATGTAAGACTTCTATTAATGCCACCAATGTCTCTGTTTTTCCAGTCCCTGGCATTCCTTTAATTAAAGCGTAATCATTTGTGGATATTACCTTCAAAATTGCTCTTTGCTGATTTTTATTTAAATTTTGTAATATTTTGGCACTTTTATAAATAATGGATTGTGATAGACCTTTTTGAAATGATGCTGGTTTCCTGATTTAAAGAAAACTTAATTAAAAAAGGTTTTAAAAAGATATATTAAAATCTATAATATATTTTCCAAACCTATCTATTATAATGTCTCGTAACTTTTCGCAAATTTTATTGTGTTCCATTAAACCTCCTACATTCGCAAGATTAGAGGAAAATAAACTAGAAGATGAATACTTGTCTATATGAAAGGATTCATTTATGTTATATTTGGTAATATCTCTGAAATAAAATAGGAGATTGTAATTCATTATAAAATTTATGTTTCCATTTTTATATACCTATCTAATAACACTATGATAGAATCTTCTTTCCTTTGTACAATAAATCCTGCAGATATATTTATTCTTGTATTTGTACTGATTAAAATATATTCATTGTCAGAAAATTCCATATATGGAATATTAGTATTTGAAAATTGTGCTTTTACATTTGCACGAACAAAGGTGTGCTTATACTTTGAATCACACTCAATAACTTTTCCTATCACTTGCAAATTACAGATACATGTTTTCTTCATTTCCCTAGAAGAAAAAAATAATCCATTTAATTAAAAAATGCACAACATAATGTTATAAAAATTATTGTATAACGTTACCTTTTTTCTGGACTTAATGTCCATAAGTATTTCATTATATTCTCACTGAATTGTGCACTTTCTTCTATTTGCAATAATGAAACCCAATGCAAAATGTAATCAATATGAGTAGGCTTGAACTTATCCAAAATCTGTTTCCCAAGCTTTGTTAATGGATGTGAATCTGACAATTGTATATTAGTATCTTTGCTCAAATATGCACAACACAAAGCACTGTAAATACACTTTGAACAAGCACTATGATGATTAATTGGTTCTGGTAACTCTAAAATTTGCCAACCTGATTCAGAAGTTAAGCTTGTTATCTTTTCAATTGATTTTGGTACAAAATAACTAGCTAATGTGTTTCGTAATAATATTAAATCCCTTTTTTCAGGATAACCACTATTAATCTCTTGTATACTATTTTCCCTGCAATAAAAAGTATTGATACAATGAATCATATAATAAAACATTAGAATACTCTAATAAATTAACAAATTACCTAGAGATAAATTTAAAAAATTACCTAAGGTATAATAAGAGACCTGTGTCTGTATCCTGACCTGTAAGAGTCATCATCATAATATACAAAATAATCTGACCTCGATGCTCCAATGAGAATGATGGTTTCCCTGTCTTTATTTCGAGAGGCATAATTTTCTTCTTTGAATTTATTTTCACTTCCACGGTAACATCTACCTTACCTTTTATACCTAACTTAGGAAGCCAGATATTTTCTTCTATATCACGAATATGACTGATTTTTCCTTTAAAATTGCTCTGCATATTATTTATTTCTTGTTGTCTTTTACCTGAAAGTATCATATGGTAATAAAAAGTAATAACAAAATACATTAATTTGAATACCTTTTATATAATGTTGAATAAACTTATGTATTTTTGGCACAAATACGAGCATTTGTTGTCTACATACATCAAGTGAAATTTCTGATGCATAAAGTAGACTGCTTGTATCTTTGGACTGCAATATGCTATCCATTAACTTTGTAATATCTGACAACTCATGAATATTTTTTTGTACTGCCTGTAATGTTAATTACTATACTTAAAAACTTAACAACATATTAAAAATGCTAGAAAGGAATGTTAAAATATACTTACACCTTGTAATAATTGATGGACTAAGCTTCCAATAACAAGTGGTGATTTATCTCCCTCATAATATGGTAAATTCTCCATCTTTCTAAATTTTTCAGCTAAAACTGCTTTTCTCTTACAAAATAAAGCACCAGCCACTGTTGTTCCAGATATTAATATATCTGGATGTACAACAAGGAAACCACTATTATTATCTATTATCCATTGTTTGTTTTCCTTTCTTGCTTGAACAACAACAATATCATCTTTCTGCACCTTAGCATCTTTCCTAAATTTCAATTAGAAATATTGCATTAAACATTTTATTTTAACTATACCATTATAATCATATTTCTTACCAAAAACCTGAACATGTAATAGTTGTATTAGGTGTCTTATAATCTTCCTGTGATACAGTTAGTAATAAACTATTATAATCTCTTCTTACTTCAACGACTTTGCATCTCTGCAGGGAATTAAAATTTATTTGGGTATCTATTGACCAGTCTTCTTCAAAATAATCATTAAAATCATCTGTTAGAAATGATCCTAATTCTGAACAAATTTCTTCATGTTTTATATTATCATGCACATATTCCTCCATGGAATCTGTTTTGTGTTCTTTTGAAAGACACTTATCAGAATTATTATCTTGTAATATACCATCATGTTTTATTACTTTCTTGTCATTTGATTTATATAATTTGTCTGCATATTGGTCAATACCAATGTTTTCCTTAAGATCATGTTCTATTACAGACATATAATCGCATTTAGTTTTATTTGTACCTATGCTTATATTACTATCGAACACATGATGAATTACATTAGACTCATCTGCAAGTACATGTTTTTGTCTTTGTGCATTTCCTGCATTACATGCATCAGGAACATCATCATATTTTGCAACTTTAATTTGTAATGAACCCAAATCATCTGATATCTTCCTTTTCTTATGTATTTCATCATCTATGGTACTAGATTCAACAATATTATTTAATGAATTATTCTTTTTAAGAGATAAATTTTTAGGAGTCTTCATAAAATATACTGATATTTTTCGTTGAGATTGCTTTGTATCATGAATTGAATTCTATGAAAAAGAAAAAAATCACAAATTTTAAAATAACGATAATGTTTTCAATTTAAATTTTGTTGTAAAAGAAAATTGTTGAATAAAAATTATGTGTATACTTTATTATTACTTTTTTTATTTATTATACATTACCTTTTTAAGAGAAAGATCAACTTTCTTCATTGTAAGTTTAATCTTATTATTCGTTGTATAAAAATATAAACTACCACATTACCAATTACCTAGTCAATTCGCGCGCAATGTCTGTCAGATTCATGCGATTATAAGAAAAGAAATGATAGTACATTTATAGCGATTATGGAGAAACTTTCTAGGGAATTCAAGAGAATATTTTATTTTCGCAATAAATATAATACCAAATATAGTATTTATTATATATGTTAAAACGAAATTATTATAACAAAAATGCCTGTCAATATTCTAAATTGCACTAAAATATATGTTTAAAATAATAAGATATATACAGTTAGTAAGATGACGACGATATTTTTTTTTTATCTATATGAATATTTGTAATTCAAATAATTAGTTTTATATCTATAAAATTATATTTAATGCATTTGTAAATTTATTTAAAAATGAACAAAATATGCGGGTTGTTTAGCAGATAAATTATATCATCTCAATTAAAGATTGAACAAGCAAAATCTTTAGTTTAACATTTACATAGTTATCCATAGTTGTTAAGCACGAGTCTATAATTTATGCAGCAATGTCAACACTATCTGGAACAAACTTTCTGTTGTGTAAAGTTTCTAAGTGTATGTAATTATGTATATATATATGTATATGTATTATTTCCGAAAAATTTATTTCCATTTTTCTTTAAATATTAAAAAGAAATTTAACAGTCTTTTATGCTGCAGACAATGATACTATTAAATCAACACAAATTTTTGGTTCAAATAAAAAGATCTTCTATTATTAACCTTTTATTAAATACAGAAATACTCATTATTTAAAAAAATTTGAATTGTCATTCAAAACATACATATATACAACATAGTTAAATATAATACAACCTCATTAAAGTAATTATCTGTAATAGTAAAATTAAGTTCTGGCTGATAATAAAAGTTGACTAACATTTAGTTGGAAGCCTCTTACAAACCTGTAAAATTAAAAAAGAAATTGGATCTTTTACATTATTGAAATTCCCTTGTAAGTAAAATATATTTTTGTTGTATAAAATACATTATTTCATTGATCTGTGGTAACGTCAATATTTACAAAATTAATGAATAAGTACAAAAAATTTTCCTTTTATTATTTTATAATGATGAAGTAATATGTTATAATGACACAATATGAAAGACACTATCACAATAAATAACAGCTCAATACTTTAATATTTATTTCCATCATAAGTTAAGATTTTATGGGGTTATCAACTATATCATACAAACACAACAACTATTTATAATCATAATATTAGTCACAAGATGGTTCACTTCTACATATTACTGATATACGTCTACCCTTTGGTATATGTTGTCCATTGAAAAAAGATTCCTCATTTTTAAAAATTTCATGATTATAATTATATCTAGCTGCACCACTGAAAAATACAAATAACAATTCATAAAAAATGTATGCTTATAAAAATATAACTCTTACCTCATTATATATAGAGATCTTCTTGGTAATAGGAAATCTTTGTATAATGTTTCGTTATCAATCATTTTTAACCTCATTACACTATCAGTTAACAAGCTTAAACCACTAATTATTTCTCCACAAAACTACAAGAAAAAAGTCATTGCTTTTTTAACTTTGTTTAAAATAAAAATGAAGAAAAATACATACCTTAATACTGTCTACATGTGGTTTTATCCATCCTTCTGGTGCTAAATCCAAAATATGTGTCAATGAAATCTGAGATATATTTTTAGGAAATGCTGTTGCTCGAATTTTATTTATTATCTCTATGTTTTTTTCATTCCATTTGCTTTTCTCTGTCTCTCTATAATTATGTATTGCCTATAATAATCAACTAAAATAAGTATAATAGAATTTAATTAAAATAAATCTTTCATATTGTACTAACATCATCCCAATGTGACTGTTCGTATCGTAGTTTTTTAATATAAGGTTCAATTTCTTCAATTAAAGACATTTCTTCTTCAATTGTGACAAAATTCGGAAGAATTTGCATTGTTTTATTAAGTTCATCTTTCCAATTTATTAAATCAATATCTGTCTTATTAAATAGAAGTTTTGATTGTGAATAATGTTTTAAATTAATATAGTTAAACGTTGTATTTAGGAAACGAGTAAACAAATTCAATTTAAGTTTCATTCTTCACTCAAATTTTTTATTAGGTTAAAAATGAAGGGCAACACAAAATTTGTTTGATTCGAAATCGTTAACATTAGCTCATTAAATATTATAATTAAATATTACAATCGATTAGTTATTTATATATTTAAATACATACATATATACAAGATAAATATAATTTTCTTAGAAACAATATTAGTTCATAATTTTCAAACTATATTACTAGGGGTTAAGACTGTTAAATACAATACCAACATATTATTCCGTTTTCTCTTTTACTTATGATAATTAATTAGTTTCATTACTTTGTAGAAGTCGGAAAAAATATTTTTTAAGTTTTTTAGTATTTAATATACAGCACATGAAATAAGAAGAAGAAAGACATATGCAACAAAATTTAAATAAAAATAATTAAATAATTTATTTAATTCAAGTTTGATTATATTTAAATTATGTAGATTGTGTATGGCAGCTTGTCGTTTAATTTCCACTATACTTTCTTTTGGTACAGTTTTATCTTTCATAATAAAACTAGACCATTTCATAGCGTATTTCAAGGTTAAAATCTGGTTTACCAATGTTAATACATAGAAGTGATATGAGTACTTTAAATCATGCCTTCGACGGGGATTAGAGACGTTTTAGCTTCAACCGCTTCGATTTGTACAGTTTTACAATTTTTAGCCGGCGTGTAAGTTAAAGTGTGAGCTCAATATCCTATTTCCTTTTATGTAAGAGATTTAAAAAAATCATTGTATGTTTTTTGTCACAAATATATCGCATTATAAGTTTTCAAATAAGAAGCATAATTTATGAAATATAAAAAGTTTTTTTCAATAATAATAGTAAAAAAACATATAGAGTAAATATTAAGAAAATTTTTGGTGATATCTATTTAGACATAGTTTCTTGTTTATTATGAATCAAAAAGTTAAAGGAATATGTTTTAGGCTGGTGTGCAGAAAGATTATTAAAAATGGCACTACAGGAAGTAGTTCAGCTTTAGCATTTGTAACATGTTATACATCGTAAGTGTTGTATTTATGGTGATAAAAGTAATGTATTTTTAACAGTCCTTTTCTCTTAATGATCATTTATCTATCTCTTTTATCACTGTACTTCTCCTGCAGTGATTTTTAAATATTTATTTAAAATTTATTATTATAGTCAAGTTCTTGTATAATATGTTATAGATGTGTCTTATGGATGAGATATGGTATGCTTATCGAAGATCGATTTATATTATTAGTGAATATTTTTGGCACAATACTTCAAGCATCTTATGTTTGTGTGTTCATTTTGTACAGTGTAAAAAAGTTTAAAACAATCAGGCAAATGATTGCAGCAACCTGTTTTCTTGGAGCTATATATTTTTATAGTTTTTATGAAGAAGATAAAATATTAGCTGCAAAATATATTGGTTTCCTTAGTTGTATAGTAACAGTATTATTTTTTGCATCTCCATTAATAATGCTGGTAAGTCTCTTGATTTTTCTTAGTTTATAATATGAAAATCACTTCTTTTGAGAAAGTGATGATACTACAATATATTTTCTAGGCACATGTAATAAAAGTTAAAAGTACTGAAACTTTGCCATTTCCCATTATTATGGCTTCTTTAATAGTTTCTTGTCAATGGTTTGCATATGGTTGCCTTCTTAATGATTATTTCATACAAATACCAAATTTTTTAGGCTGTGTATTATCTGCATTTCAACTTTGCTTTTTTTTAATTTATCGTAATGAGCAGTCTAATGAAGCTCACTTAATATAATATTAAGATATAATTTCACAGACTGAAAATTATGTATTATAAATGAAAAAATATGATATATATTTTATAATGAATTAATACTTGTAACTTAGAATAGATGATTTGTATTCTCAAGAAAAAATATATTTTTGAAATAATTAATGGGCTTTTTAATTAAAATGAACATTACATATTCCTAAAATTGAGTTTCTTCCCGCTATAAAGAGTTCTATTGTAACAACTTATTAGATATTTTAGTTGGCACTACAAAATTCCCTAGATAGAAAAACAAAAAGTGACATATAAATTATAAAACTTGAAGAATATAATAATAATATTAAATAACATTTAATTTTTATAAATTGTGTAATAAATTAATTATAAAAAATTCTTTGCATATAATAGTAAACTTATATTTGCTTCTCTAAGGCAATTTTCTATTAATTATTAATGTAATAATACGAATACGTATTGATTAATAATTCTATGATGTATCATTTCATTGTTTATTATTCTATTCTAATTTATGACCCAAATATAGATTTTTATGATATTGTAAAATCATATAAAACATTTATTTGAATTTAGTATTAGTTGCATATCTTTTCCAAATGTACTAAAAAAAAATATTATTTAACAAATAAAAGTTCTTTGTTATCATTTTAAAAAATTTTATTTCTGTTAATATATCAAAATGATACAGAATATTGATTCTTGTTTAGAAACATTGTTTTATAAGCGGAAATTGGGTGGAATTTTCCAGACATATTGGAAAGCCGGTAAAGTTCCGGGGCGGACCAGTTGGCAATACTGACAGCAAGAGGAGAGAAAGGGGTGCGGTGTTGCGTGACTGACTGCGAGGCCGAGCGTGTGTGTTTGTTGTGTTGTACGAAATTTTTATTCTCCTTTTGGGAAAAGGAACATTCGCTTTTTTTGGGGGAGACCGTACGTTTGGAAGGGAAAATTATGTCGTCGTACATCCAGGTTGCCGAAGACGAAGGCGACGAACCGATCGAATTGCCGACGGAGGACGATAGCACACTTTTATTGACTACCGTAACCGCCCAGTTTCCCGGAACGTGTGGCCTGAAATATCGCAATCCAGAATCTCGAACGATGCGCGGCATTCGTCTCGTTGACGGACGTCTTCATCCTCCCGAAAATGGATGGGGCAAGGCGATTTACTTTTGTGTTTTTCCAAAAGGTGCTTATTTCACTGCAAATCATGGCCTTTTTCTCTTACCCCTCTCTCCTCCTTCGAAAATATACTAACGCTTCGACATAAGATCAAGTATACCATGTTTTTCATATATCGATTGTCGTGAATTTTGAGTCACTTCAACTTTAAAAATGTTAATCGGTATTAATTCTTGGTTCTAGATTATTTTAGTTTCTCATAGCTTTAGTTTCTTTTTATTTTTTTCAAAGTTCAAAATTCTAGTTTCGGCGTCAATAAATATAACATTAAATATTTCATTGATTCTTCTTTTATAAATTTTGTTAGCACTAGTACTTGATCTTAAATCCTAATAATTTTATTATGGACATTTTACTTACATTTTTTTTTTTTTTTTTTTTTTTTTTTTTTTTTTTTTTTTTTTTTTTT